TGTGTATGTATCTCTGTGTAGATGGGTAAGAGATATCTCTGTGTATGTATCTCCCTGTAGATGGGTAAGAGATATCACTGTGTATGTATCTCTGTGATGTATCTCCGTGTAGATGGGTAAGAGATATCACTGTGATGTATCTCTGTGTAGATGGGTAAGAGATATCACTGTGATGTATCTCTGTGATGTATCTCTGTGATGTATCTCCCTGTAGATGGGTAAGAGATATCACTGTGTATGTATCTCTGTGTAGATGGGTAAGAGATATCACTGTGATGTATCTCTGTGATGTATCTTCCTGTAGATGGGTAAGAGATATCACTGTGTATGTATCTCCCTGTAGATGGGTAAGAGATATCACTGTGATGTATCTCTGTGATGTATCTCTGTGATGTATCTCCCTGTAGATGGGTAAGAGATATCACTGTGTAACTATCTCCCTGTAAATGGGTAAGAGATATCACTGTGTATCTCTGTGATGTATCTCTGTGATGTATCTCTGTGATGTATCTCTGTGATGTATCTCTGTGTAACTATCTTCTTGTAGATGGGTAAGAGATATCACTGTGTATGTATCTCTATGATGTATCTCTGTGATGTATCTCCCTGTAGATGGGTAAGAGATATCACTGTGTATGTATCTCTGTGTAGATGGGTAAGGGATATCACTGTGATGTATCTCTGTGTAGATGGGTAAGAGATATCACTGTGATGTATCTCTGTGATGTATCTCTGTGATGTATCTCCCTGTAGATGGGTAAGAGATATCACTGTGTAACTATCTCCCTGTAGATGGGTAAGAGATGTCACTGTGTATCTCTGTGATGTATCTCTGTGATGTATCTCTGTGATGTATCTCTGTGTAACTATCTTCTTGTAGATGGGTAAGAGATATCACTGTGTATGTATCTCTATGATGTATCTCTGTGATATATCTCCCTGTAGATTGGTAAGAGATATCACTGTGTAACTATCTCTATGATGTATCACTGTGTATATATCTCCCTGTAGATGGGTAAGAGATATCACTGTGTATCTCTATGATGTATCTCTGTGTATGTATCTCCGTGTAGATGGGTAAGAGATATCACTGTGTATGTATCTCCGTGTAGATGGGTAAGAGATATCACTGTGTATGTATCTCCGTGTAGATGGGTAAGAGATATCACTGTGTATCTCTGTGTAACTATCTTCCTGTAGATGGGTAAGAGATATCACTGCGACTTCTGCGACAAGACGTTTCAGGACAATCTGCAGAGCCGAAGGCGCCACCTCCGTGGGCTGGGCCACCAGCAGCGTCGCCAGGAGTGGTACGCAGCTTACCGTGGTGAGTTCACCATCACCTGCACCATCAACACCATCACCTGCACCATCACCTAGACCATCACCTACACCATCACCACCATCACCTGCACCATCACCTAGACCATCACCTACACCATCACCTACACCATCACCTGCACCATCAACACCATCACCTACACCACCATCACCTAGACCATCACCTACACCATCACCTGCACCATCAACACCATCACCTACACCATCACCTGCACCATCAACACCATCACCTGCACCATCAACACCATCACCTGCACCTACACCATCACCTGCACCATCAACACCATCACCTACACCATCAACACCATCAACAGCTACACCACCGTCACCTACACCACCGTCACCTACACCACCATCACCTACACCATCACCTGCACCATCAACACCGTCACCTACACCATCAACACCGTCACCTGCACCATCAACACCATCACCTGCACCATCAACACCATCAACACCATCACCTACACCACCATCACCTGCACCATCAACACCGTCACCTACACCATCAACACCGTCACCTGCACCATCAACACCATCACCTGCACCATCAACACCATCACCTGCACCATCAACACCGTCACCTGCACCATCACCTACACCATCACCTACACCATCACCTACACCATCACCTGCACCATCACCACCATCACCTGCACCATCAACACCATCACCTGCACCATCAACACCGTCACCTACACCTACACCATCACCTACACCATCACCTACACCATCAACACCATCACCTGCACCATCACCACCATCACCTGCACCATCAACACCGTCACCTGCACCATCAACACCATCACCTGCACCATCAACACCATCACCTGCACCATCAACACCGTCACCTGCACCATCAACACCGTCACCTGCACCATCAACACCGTCACCTACACCATCACCTGCACCATCACCAACACCATCACCTGCACCATCACCAACACCATCACCTGCACCATCACCAACACCATCACCTGCACCATCAACACCGTCACCTACACCACCATCACCTACACCATCACCTACACCATCACCTACACCATCAACACCGTCACCTACACCATCACCTACACCATCACCTGCACCATCAACACCATCACCTACACCATCACCTACACCATCACCTGCACCATCAACACCGTCACCTGCACCATCAACACCGTCACCTACACCACCATCATCTACACCATCACCTACACCTACACCATCACCTGCACCATCAACACCATCACCTACACCATCAACACCGTCACCTACACCATCAACACCGTCACCTACACCATCAACACCATCAACACCTACACCACCGTCACCTACACCACCATCACCTACACCATCACCTATACCTACACCATCACCTGCACCATCAACACCATCACCTGCACCATCAACACCATCACCTGCACCATCAACACCATCACCTACACCACCGTCACCTGCACCATCAACACCATCACCTGCACCTGCACCATTAACACCATCAACACCTACACCACCGTCACCTACACCACCATCACCTACACCATCACCTACACCTACACCATCACCTACACCATCACCTGCACCATCATCACCATCACCTGCACCATCAACACCATCACCTACACCTACACCATCACCTGCACCATCACCTGCACAATCACCTACACCATCACCTACACCATCACCTACACCATCACCTACACCATCACCTGCACCATCACCTACACCATCACCTACACCATCACCTGCACCATCACCAACACCATCACCTGCACCATCAACACCATCACCTACACCATCAACACCGTCACCTGCACCATCAACTACACCTACACCATCACCTGCACCATCAACACCATCACCTACACCATCACCTGCACCATCAACACCATCACCTGCACCATCACCTAGACCATCACCTGCACCATCAACACCATCAACAGCTACACCACCGTCACCTACACCACCGTCACCTACACCACCATCACCTACACCATCACCTGCACCATCAACACCGTCACCTACACCTACACCATCACCTGCACCATCAACACCATCACCTGCACCATCAACTACACCAACAACATCAACACCGTCACCTACACCATCACCTACACCATCACCTACACCATCACCTGCACCATCACCTGCACCATCACCAACACCATCACCTGCACCATCAACACCATCACCTACACCATCAACACCATCACCTGCACCATCAACACCATCAACACCTACACCACCGTCACCTACACCACCATCACCTACACCATCACCTACACCTACACCATCACCTGCACCATCAACACCGTCACCTGCACCATCACCTACACCATCACCTGCACCATCAACACCGTCACCTGCACCATCAACACCATCACCTACACCACCATCACCTACACCATCACCTACACCATCACCTGCACCATCAACACCGTCACCTACAACATCAACACCGTCACCTGCACCATCAACACCATCACCTACACCACCATCACCTACACCATCACCTACACCATCACCTACACCATCACCTGCACCATCAACACCGTCACCTGCACCATCAACACCGTCACCTGCACCATCAACACCATCACCTGCACCATCAACACCGTCACCTGCACCTGCACCATCAACACCATCACCTGCACCATCAACACCATCACCTGCACCTGCACCATCAACACCATCACCTGCACCATCAACACCATCACCTACACCATCACCTGCACCATCAACACCATCACCTGCACCATCAACACCATCACCTGCACCATCAACACCATCACCTGCACCATCAACACCATCACCTCACCATCAACACCATCACCATCAACACCATCACCTACACCATCACCTACACCTACACCATCACCTGCACCATCAACACCGTCACCTGCACCATCAACACCGTCACCTACACCACCATCACCTACACCATCACCTACACCTACACCATCACCTACACCATCACCTATACCTACACCATCACCTGCACCATCAACACCATCACCTGCACCATCAACACCGTCACCTACACCACCATCACCTACACCATCACCTACACCTACACCTACACCATCACCTGCACCATCAACACCATCACCTGCACCATCAACACCGTCACCTGCACCATCAACACCGTCACCTGCACCATCAACACCATCACCTGCACCATCAACACCGTCACCTACACCACCATCACCTACACCTACACCATCACCTACACCATCACCTGCACCTACACCATCACCTGCACCATCAACACCATCACCTGCACCATCAACACCGTCACCTACACCACCATCACCTACACCATCACCTACACCATCACCTACACCATCAACACCGTCACCTGCACCATCAACACCGTCACCTGCACCATCAACACCGTCACCTGCACCATCAACACCGTCACCTACACCACCATCACCTACACCATCACCTACACCTACACCATCACCTACACCATCACCTACACCTACACCATCACCTGCACCATCAACACCATCACCTGCACCATCAACTACACCTACAACACCGTCACCTACACCACCATCACCTACACCATCACCTACACCTACAACATCAACACCGTCACCTACACCACCATCACCTACACCATCAGCTACACCTACACCATCACCTGCACCATCAACACCATCACCTGCACCATCAACACCATCACCTGCACCATCATGTGCACCATCACCACCATCACCTGCACCATCACCACCATCAACTACAACTATAACCATCACCTACACCACCATCAACTATACCTACAACATCACCTACACCATCAACTACACCTACAACATCACCTACACCACCATCACCTACACCATCACCTACACCATCACCTACACCATCACCTACACCATTACCTACACCATCACCGTCACCACCATCACCACCACCACCATCAGCATCACTACCTACACCATCACTACCTACACCATCACTACCTACACCATCACTACCTACACCATCACTACCTACACCGTCACCACCGTCACCACCACCACCATCAGCAGTGTCTCTGTTCATCTCCCCCACAGATGCGGCTACGATTCTCGCCGAGGAGTCTGGGAAAGTCGCCTGCAGGAAGTTCCAAAACACCGGTGTGTGAGTGTGTATGTGTGTATGTGTGTGTGTATGTGGGTGTATGTGTGTGTGTATGTACGTGCGTGTGTATGTGTGTGTATGTGTGTGTATGTATGTGTGTGTGTATGTGTGTGTATGTGTGTGTGTATGTGTGTGTATTTGTGGGTGTGTGTGTGTGTGGGTGTGTGTGTTGGTGTGTGTGTGGGTGTGTGTGTTGGTGTGTGTGTGTGTGTGGGTGTGTGTTTGTGTGTGTATGTGGGTGTGGGTGTGTGTGCGTGTGTTTGTGTGTGTATGTGGGTGTGTGTGTGTATGTGGGTGTGTGTGTATGTATGTTCGTGGGTGTATGTGTGTGTGATGGGGAGCGATAGTGTAGCGGTTAGCACGCTGCGCTATGAACCTGGTGACCCGGGTTCGATTCCCGCTCACGGCCAACACCAGTGACAATTATCTTAACCGGTCCCGGGCCTCCCCTAGGTCGACTCAGCCTCAAATGAGTACATCGCCACTGGGGAGACAAAGGCGGTCGGGCGTGGTGCTGGCCTCCCACCCCCTCGTGTTCCGTTCCGGCCTTCATAGGTGCTCGCTAACAGCACTTGCCCCTACAGTCTGTTAAGGCTATATGGGGGATCTTTGTTTTGTATGTGGGTGTGTGTGTATGTATGTATGTGGGGGTGTGTGTGTGTAGCTGCTCAGTCAGAGGAGGAGTTGGAGACGCTGCTGCTGAGACTGGAGCGTGCCACTAAGAGGTGGGGCCTTACCATCAGCCCCACCAAAACTAAGCACCTGCCTGGGTATTTTGTACCATCGGACACTCCACCCCCACATCTCCCAATCGGTGATGGGGCAGTTGTGGAGAGAGTGGAGAGTTTCCCATACCTGGGCAGTGTGCTTATGACTGGCTCCAGTTTAACAGCAGAGGTCTCACTCCGAATCAGTCGAGCGGCAATATCTTTTCATCGGTTGCGTAACGCTGTGTGGAAGCTACCTGGTCTGTCGCTCCGCACTAAGCTTCAGGTCTTCTCGGCCACGATCATTCCCTCCCTTCTCTACGCTTGCGAAACGTGGACCCCCCTAATGGAACATCTTCGCCGGTTAGAAACATTTAGGCTGACCTGCCTACGATCCATCCTGGGTTTAACCAGACTGGATTGTGTGAGGAGCTCACAAATCCTTGAAAGATCTGGGCAGGGTCCCATCGGTGAGCTCCTCCGGCAGGCAAGGCTGCGATGGCTGGGTCATGTAGCCCGCATGCCCAGCCACCGCATGCCGAAACAGCTTTTGTTTGGCCGGATTGAGGGGGCTAAGCGGGCGCGGCACGGGCTAGAGAAGAGATGGAGTGATGTGGTACAGGAGGACGTGGAGCGGAGTGGACTTGCCGATGACTGGTACCAGCGGTGTCAAGATCGGCCTCTGTGGAGGAGGCTCGTGAAGGATGCTACTGGGCAGTTGGAGGCAGTCGCCCTCCAACAACAACGGAGGGCGGAGGAGCGACGCTCAGAACAGCGAGCGGAGCGCCGGGTGGCTAAAGCACAGCAGGTTGGCACAGTAGGGGGCACAGGTGGTGCATCAGCCAGTCATCTCAGTCAGTCGACCCGTGGCACCTGGGTCTGCCCCGTGACCTCCTGCCAGCGGGCGTTCGACACTTCACGTGGCCTCAGGGTGCACATAGCCTGGCACAAGCGTCGTGGTGACGTCACCGCCACTTAGTGGCGAATGGCGGTTGTTGTTGTTGTTGTGTATGTGGGTGTATATGTGTGTGTATGTGTGTGTGTATGTGTGTGGGTGTATGTGTGTGTGGCCACGTGGAATGTTCGAATGCTCACTGCGGAGGAGAGGCTGCCACTCCTCTGTCGGGAGCTGGACCGGTACCGCCTGGATCTCTGCGGCATTCAGGAGGTCCGGTGGACCGGTTCTGGCTCCTGCCACCATGAGGGGTGGACAGTCCTCTACTCCGGGCAGCAGACTGCCAAACAACAGGGTGTGGCTCTTCTTTTGAACAAAAGAATGAAGGGAGCGTGTCGGTGAGGTGTGGGAAGCTGTAAGCCCCAGGCTACTTTGGGCTCGCCTTCCCATCAACCGGAGGTGAGGAATGGTGGTCGTGGTTACTTATGCCCCCACCGAAGATGAACATCCGTGGAGGGATGCAGGCAAAGCCGATGAGTCAGATGCCTTCTATGACCTCCTGTCACAGGTGCTGGCTAAAGTGGCCCCTCGGGATAGAGTCATCATGTTGGGTGACTTCAATGCCCGAGTTGGTCATGATGCTGGCACCTGGTCTGGAGTGATTGGAGGGCATGGGCCAGATCAGCTCAATAACAACGGTAGGAGGCTGCTACATTTTTGTGCAGCCCATGGGCTTGTAATTACCAACACGTTGTTCTGGCATTGGCGCATCCACACAACATCATGGATGCATGCCGGGTCCAAGCAAGAACATCTGCTGGACTACATAGTGACGGACCAGCGGATGCGAGCCCATGTCCTTGACACCAGGACCTACCGTGGAGCTGATCTGCCCTCTGACCATTGACTTGTCATCTGTAAGATGCGCCTGCCATTCTTCCACTCCGGTGGTGGGTGTACACCCAGGACCCCATTCCAACCTAAAGTGGCCTGGTCTCAGTTATCTGATTAAAGTTGCAAGCGAGAATTTCATCATCGCCTGCGGCTGGGGTTGGCATCGTCCCCCACTCCTCCTGATGTCGAGGGTAAATGGGCGAGGTTTAGGACTGTCACTCATACAGCTGCATTTGCTGCTTTGGGTACGAGGTCCAGACCTCCCCAGAGACCCTGGCTGACAGAGGAGGTGTTCAGGATAGGTGAGAAAAGGCGACAGGCCCACTGTCATCGGCTACAGAATCCCACGTCAGAGAATGAGGAGGCTTACCGCAGCCTTCGCTCGGAGGTTCGGAGAGCCGTGAGGCGCTGCAAGGATGGGTGGTGGTCGCGGGTTGCTGAGGAGATGGAGTCTGCCTCAGTGGCCCGTGATCACAAATCTCTATTTAACTCCATCAAAAAAGTAATCTGCAGCGCCACACCTATTACCATCATTAGGGGAAAAAACGGTGATCCAATCTCCGACCCCCAGGAACAGGTTTGCAGATTTGCTGAGCATTTCTGTGAGGTCCTGGGGGAGGGGAAATCCCTCAGCCAGGAAAACATCGTGGCACAAAGTGAGGATGACCCTGCTGAGGCTGCGGTGCCTCAAATATTGGAAGAAGTCACCCCCTGTGAGTGGCTGGCTGAGGTGCCATCTGTTGAGGAAGTACTGAAGGCGATCCGGAGTCTGAGACCAGGAAAGGCACCGGGCAGAGATGATCTCCCAAGCGAAATGCTGAGGGAGGGTGGCGTTTGTGCACAGACTGCCCTATATGACATCATAACAACAGTCTGGACCACTGGACGGGTTCCGCAGGATTGGAAAGATGCCCTGGTGGTCCCCCTTTTTAAGAAGGGGGACCGCACAGACTGTAACAACTACAGGGGCATCTCACTCCTCAGTGTGCCGGGAAAGGTACTGGCAAGGATTATTCAACATCGCCTTGCCAGGCACGCTGAGGTTGAGGCTTGCGGAGCCCCAATGCGGTTTCAGGAAAGGGCGGTCCTGCACAGATTCCATATTTTCTGTCCGTCTGCTACAGCAGAGGTGTAGGGAATTCCAACAAGACCTACATCTCTGCTTTATTGACCTGGTCAAGGCCTATGATACCATCAGTAGGCCTGGGCTCTGGGTTGTGCTTCGTGCTTTCGGAGTCCCTGACCCTCTGCTCACAATCATTAAGGACCTTCATGATGGTGAGCGGGCCCGGGTAAAACTACGTGGCCGGGAGTCAGAGCCATTCCCTGTACACCTTGGGGTGCGACAGGGATGTCCTCTGGCTCCCACATTATTTAACATCTATTTTGACCACGTAGTTCGTGAAGCCTTCAATAGCTGTACCGGGGGAATCTCCATATGGTACAGATATAATGGGAGGCTGATCGATGCCCGGGTGCGGTCAAGGGATGGCTCCCTATTGCTCAACCACGTTATGTATGCTGATGATTTGGTAATAGCTGCTCAGTCAGAGGAGGAGTTGGAGACGCTGCTGCTGAGACTGGAGCGTGCCACTAAGAGGTGGGGTTGTTGTTGTTGTAGGTCGACTCAGCCTCTAATGAGTACCTGGTGTAGCGGTGTGTAGTAAACATCGCCAGCACTGGGGAGACAAAGGCGGCCGGGCGTGGTGCTGGCCACCCACCCCCTCTGTGTGTGCCGTGCCGGCCTTCGTGGGTGGTGCTGCTAGCAGCACTTGCCCCTGCAGTCTGCCGGGCTACCCGGGCGTCTTTGTCTTTGCAGGTCGCTGCGACTTCGGTCAGAGCTGCCGATTCTCTCACTGCAGCAGCGAGGAGCTCCAGAGGCTGAGAGACAGAGTGGAGGGTGACCAGCCCCTCCCCTCACTACCCCCACTCCCCCTCCCCTCACTCCCCCCACTCCCCCTCCCCTCACTCCCCCCACTCCCCCTCCCCTCACTCCCCCCACTCCCCCTCCCCTCACTCCCCCCACTCCCCCTCCCCTCACTCCCCCTCCCCTCACTCCCCCCACTCCCCCTCCCCTCACTCCCCCCACTCCCCCTCCCCTCACTCCCCCCACTCCCCCTCCCCTCACTCCCCCCACTCCCCCCTCCCCTCACTCCCCCTCCCCTCACTCCCCCCACTCCCCCTCCCCTCACTCCCCCCACTCCCCCTCCCCTCACTCCCCCCACTCCCCCTCCCCTCACTCCCCCCACTCCCCCTCCGCTCACTCCCCCCTCCCTCACTCCCCCCCAACTCCCCCCTCCCTCACTCCCTCCCCCCTATAGTTGCTTGTAGTTTACTATAGTTGTAGTTGCCTGTAGTTGTAGTTGCCTGTAGTTATAGTTGCCTGTGGTTATAGTTGCCTGTAGTTGCCTGTAGTTATAGTTGCCTGTGGTTATAGTTGCCTGTGGTTATAGTTGCTTGTAGTTATAGTTGCCTGTAGTTATAGTTGCCTGTAGTTATAGTTGCCTGTAGTTATAGTTGCCTGTAGTCATAGTTGCTTGTGGTTATAGTTGCCTGTAGTTATAGTTGCCTGTAGTTATAGTTGCCTGTAGTTATAGTTGCTTGTGGTTATAGTTGCCTGTAGTTATAGTTGATTGTGGTTATAGTTGCTTGTAGTTATAGTTGCCTGTAGTTATAGTTGCCTGTAGTTATAGTTGCTTGTAGTTATAGTTGCCTGTAGTTATAGTTGCCTGTAGTTATAGTTGCCTGTAGTTGTAGTTGCCTGTAGTTATAGTTGCTTGTGGTTATAGTTGCCTGTAGTTATAGTTGCTTGTAGTTATAGTTGCTTGTAGTTATAGTTGCCTGTAGTTATAGTTGCCTGTAGTTATAGTTGCCTGTAGTTATAGTTGCCTGTAGTTATAGTTGCCTGTAGTTATAGTTGCCTGTAGTTATAGTTGCCTGTAGTTATAGTTGCCTGTAGTTATAGTTGCCTGTAGTTATAGTTGCCTGTAGTTATTGTTGCCTGTAGTTATAGTTGCCTGTAGTTATAGTTGCCTGTAGTTATAGTTGCCTGTAGTTATAGTTGCCTGTAGTTATAGTTGTTTGTAGTTATAGTTGCTTGTGGTTATAGTTGCCTGTGGTTATAGTTGCCTGTAGTTATAGTTGATTGTAGTTATAGTTGCCTGTAGTTATAGTTGCTTGTGGTTATAGTTGCTTGTAGTTATAGTTGCCTGTAGTTATAGTTGCCTGTAGTTATAGTTGCCTGTAGTTATTGTTGCCTGTAGTTATAGTTGCTTGTGGTTATAGTTGCCTGTAGTTATAGTTGCTTGTGGTTATAGTTGCCTGTGGTTATAGTTGCCTGTAGTTATAGTTGATTGTAGGTATAGTTGCCTGTAGTTATAGTTGCCTGTAGTTACAGTTGCTTGTGGTTATAGTTGCCTGTAGTTATAGTTGCTTGTGGTTATAGTTGCCTGTAGTTATAGTTGCTTGTGGTTATAGTTGCCTGTAGTTATAGTTGCCTGTAGTTATAGTTGCCTGTAGTTATAGTTGCCTGTAGTTATAGTTGCTTGTGGTTATAGTTGCCTGTAGTTATAGTTGCCTGTAGTTATAGTTGCCTGTAGTTACAGTTGCTTGTGGTTATAGTTGCCTGTAGTTATAGTTGCCTGTAGTTATAGTTGCCTGTAGTTATAGTTGCCTGTAGTTATAGTTGTTTGTAGTTATAGTTGCTTGTGGTTATAGTTGCTTGTGGTTATAGTTGCCTGTAGTTATAGTTGCCTGTAGTTATAGTTGCCTGTAGTTATAGTTGCTTGTGGTTATAGTTGCCTGTAGTTATAGTTGCCTGTAGTTATAGTTGCTTGTGGTTATAGTTGCTTCTAGTCATAGTTGCCTGTAGTTATAGTTGCCTGTGGTTATAGTTGCTTGTGGTTATAGTTGCCTGTAGTTATAGTTGCCTGTAGTTATAGTTGCCTGTAGTTATAGTTGCTTGTAATTATAGTTGCCTGTAGTTATAGTTGCTTGTGGTTATAGTTGCCTGTAGTTATAGTTGCCTGTAGTTATAGTTGCTTGTGGTTATAGTTGCCTGTAGTTATAGTTGCTTGTAGTTATAGTTGCCTGTAGTTATAGTTGCCAGTAGTTATAGTTGCTTGTAGTTATAGTTGCCTGTAGTTATAGTTGCTTGTGGTTATAGTTGCTTGTGGTTATAGTTGCCTGTAGTCATAGTTGCTTGTGGTTATAGTTGCCTGTAGTTATAGTTGCCTGTAGTTATAGTTGCCTGTAGTTATAGTTGCTTGTGGTTATAGTTGCCTGTAGTTACAGTTGATTGTGGTTATAGTTGCTTGTAGTTATAGTTGCCTGTAGTTATAGTTGCCTGTAGTTATAGTTGCTTGTAGTTATAGTTGCTTGTGGTTATAGTTGCCTGTAGTTATAGTTGCCTGTAGTTGTAGTTGCCTGTAGTTATAGTTGCTTGTGGTTATAGTTGCCTGTAGTTATAGTTGCTTGTAGTTATAGTTGCTTGTAGTTATAGTTGCCTGTAGTTATAGTTGCCTGTAGTTATAGTTGCTTGTGGTTATAGTTGCCTGTAGTTATAGTTGCCTGTAGTTATAGTTGCCTGTAGTTATAGTTGCCTGTAGTTATAGTTGCCTGTAGTTATAGTTGCCTGTGGTTATAGTTGCTTGTGGTTATAGTTGCCTGTAGTTATAGTTGCCTGTAGTTATAGTTGCCTGTAGTTATAGTTGCTTGTGGTTATAGTTGCCTGTAGTTATAGTTGCCTGTAGTTATAGTTGCCTGTAGTTATAGTTGCTTGTGGTTATAGTTGCCTGTAGTTATAGTTGCCTGTAGTTATAGTTGCCTGTAGTTATAGTTGCCTGTAGTTATAGTTGCCTGTAGTTATAGTTGCCTGTAGTTATAGTTGCCTGTAGTTATAGTTGCCTGTAGTTATAGTTGCCTGTGGTTATAGTTGCTTGTGGTTATAGTTGCTTGTAGTTATAGTTGCCTGTAGTTATAGTTGCCTGTAGTTATAGTTGCTTGTGGTTATAGTTGCCTGTAGTTATAGTTGCCTGTAGTTATAGTTGCCTGTAGTTATAGTTGCTTGTGGTTATAGTTGCCTGTAGTTATAGTTGCCTGTAGTTATAGTTGCCTGTAGTTATAGTTGCCTGTAGTTATAGTTGCCTGTAGTTATAGTTGCCTGTAGTTATAGTTGCCTGTAGTTATAGTTTGCTAGTGGTTATAGTTGCCTGTAGTTATAGTTGCCTGTGGTTATAGTTGCTTGTGGTTATAGTTGCTTGTGGTTATAGTTTGCTTGTGGTTGTAGTTGCCTGTAGTCATAGTTGCCTGTAGTTATAGTTGCCTGTAGTTATAGTTGCCTGTAGTTATAGTTGCCTGTAGTTATAGTTGCCTGTGATTATAGTTGCCTGTAGTTATAGTTGCTTGTAGTTATAGTTGCTTGTGGTTATAGTTGTCTGTAGTTATAGTTGTCTGTAGTCATAGTTGCCTGTAGTCATAGTTGCCTGTAGTTATAGTTGCCTGTGGTTATAGTTGCCTGTAGTTGCCTGTAGTTATAGTTGCCTGTAGTTATAGTTGCCTGTGGTTATAGTTGCTTGTAGTTATAGTTGCCTGTAGTTATAGTTGCCTGTAGTTATAGTTGCCTGTAGTTATAGTTGCCTGTAGTCATAGTTGCTTGTGGTTATAGTTGCCTGTAGTTATAGTTGCCTGTAGTTATAGTTGCCTGTAGTTATAGTTGCTTGTGGTTATAGTTGCCTGTAGTTATAGTTGATTGTGGTTATAGTTGCTTGTAGTTATAGTTGCCTGTAGTTATAGTTGCCTGTAGTTATAGTTGCTTGTAGTTATAGTTGCCTGTAGTTATAGTTGCCTGTAGTTATAGTTGCCTGTAGTTGTAGTTGCCTGTAGTTATAGTTGCTTGTGGTTATAGTTGCCTGTAGTTATAGTTGCTTGTAGTTATAGTTGCTTGTAGTTATAGTTGCCTGTAGTTATAGTTGCCTGTAGTTATAGTTGCCTGTAGTTATAGTTGCCTGTAGTTATAGTTGCCTGTAGTTATAGTTGCCTGTAGTTATAGTTGCCTGTAGTTATAGTTGCCTGTAGTTATAGTTGCCTGTAGTTATAGTTGCCTGTAGTTATTGTTGCCTGTAGTTATAGTTGCCTGTAGTTATAGTTGCCTGTAGTTATAGTTGCCTGTAGTTATAGTTGCCTGTAGTTATAGTTGTTGTAGTTATAGTTGCTTGTGGTTATAGTTGCCTGTGGTTATAGTTGCCTGTAGTTATAGTTGATTGTAGTTATAGTTGCCTGTAGTTATAGTTGCTTGTGGTTATAGTTGCTTGTAGTTATAGTTGCCTGTAGTTATAGTTGCCTGTAGTTATAGTTGCCTGTAGTTATTGTTGCCTGTAGTTATAGTTGCTTGTGGTTATAGTTGCCTGTAGTTATAGTTGCTTGTGGTTATAGTTGCCTGTGGTTATAGTTGCCTGTAGTTATAGTTGATTGTAGGTATAGTTGCCTGTAGTTATAGTTGCCTGTAGTTACAGTTGCTGTGGTTATAGTTGCCTGTAGTTATAGTTGCTTGTGGTTATAGTTGCCTGTAGTTATAGTTGCTTGTGGTTATAGTTGCCTGTAGTTATAGTTGCCTGTAGTTATAGTTGCCTGTAGTTATAGTTGCCTGTAGTTATAGTTGCTTGTGGTTATAGTTGCCTGTAGTTATAGTTGCCTGTAGTTATAGTTGCCTGTAGTTACAGTTGCTTGTGGTTATAGTTGCCTGTAGTTATAGTTGCCTGTAGTTATAGTTGCCTGTAGTTATAGTTGCCTGTAGTTATAGTTGTTTGTAGTTATAGTTGCTTGTGGTTATAGTTGCTTGTGGTTATAGTTGCCTGTAGTTATAGTTGCCTGTAGTTTATAGTTGCCTGTAGTTATAGTTGCTTGTGGTTATAGTTGCCTGTAGTTATAGTTGCCTGTAGTTATAGTTGCTTGTGGTTATAGTTGCTTCTAGTCATAGTTGCCTGTAGTTATAGTTGCCTGTGGTTATAGTTGCTTGTGGTTATAGTTGCCTGTAGTTATAGTTGCCTGTAGTTATAGTTGCCTGTAGTTATAGTTGCTTGTAGTTATAGTTGCCTGTAGTTATAGTTGCTTGTGGTTATAGTTGCCTGTAGTTATAGTTGCCTGTAGTTATAGTTGCTTGTGGTTATAGTTGCCTGTAGTTATAGTTGCTTGTAGTTATAGTTGCCTGTAGTTATAGTTGCCAGTAGTTATAGTTGCTTGTAGTTATAGTTGCCTGTAGTTATAGTTGCTTGTGGTTATAGTTGCTTGTGGTTATAGTTGCCTGTAGTCATAGTTGCTTGTGGTTATAGTTGCCTGTAGTTATAGTTGCCTGTAGTTATAGTTGCCTGTAGTTATAGTTGCTTGTGGTTATAGTTGCCTGTAGTTACAGTTGATTGTGGTTATAGTTGCTTGTAGTTATAGTTGCCTGTAGTTATAGTTGCCTGTAGTTATAGTTGCTTGTAGTTATAGTTGCTTGTGGTTATAGTTGCCTGTAGTTATAGTTGCCTGTAGTTGTAGTTGCCTGTAGTTATAGTTGCTTGTGGTTATAGTTGCCTGTAGTTATAGTTGCTTGTAGTTATAGTTGCTTGTAGTTATAGTTGCCTGTAGTTATAGTTGCCTGTAGTTATAGTTGCTTGTGGTTATAGTTGCCTGTAGTTATAGTTGCCTGTAGTTATAGTTGCCTGTAGTTATAGTTGCCTGTAGTTATAGTTGCCTGTAGTTATAGTTGCCTGTGGTTATAGTTGCTTGTGGTTATAGTTGCTTGTAGTTATAGTTGCCTGTAGTTATAGTTGCCTGTAGTTATAGTTGCTTGTGGTTATAGTTGCCTGTAGTTATAGTTGCCTGTAGTTATAGTTGCCTGTAGTTATAGTTGCTTGTGGTTATAGTTGCCTGTAGTTATAGTTGCCTGTAGTTATAGTTGCCTGTAGTTATAGTTGCCTGTAGTTATAGTTGCCTGTAGTTATAGTTGCCTGTAGTTATAGTTGCCTGTAGTTATAGTTGCCTGTAGTTATAGTTGCCTGTGGTTATAGTTGCTTGTGGTTATAGTTGCTTGTAGTTATAGTTGCCTGTAGTTATAGTTGCCTGTAGTTATAGTTGCTTGTGGTTATAGTTGCCTGTAGTTATAGTTGCCTGTAGTTATAGTTGCCTGTAGTTATAGTTGCTTGTGGTTATAGTTGCCTGTAGTTTATAGTTGCCTGTAGTTATAGTTGCCTGTAGTTATAGTTGCCTGTAGTTATAGTTGCCTGTAGTTATAGTTGCCTGTAGTTATAGTTGCCTGTAGTTATAGTTGCTAGTGGTTATAGTTGCCTGTAGTTATAGTTGCCTGTGGTTATAGTTGCTTGTGGTTATAGTTGCTTGTGGTTATAGTTGCTTGTGGTTGTAGTTGCCTGTAGTCATAGTTGCCTGTAGTTATAGTTGCCTGTAGTTATAGTTGCCTGTAGTTATAGTTGCCTGTAGTTATAGTTGCTTGTGATTATAGTTGCCTGTAGTTATAGTTGCTTGTAGTTATAGTTGCTTGTGGTTATAGTTGTCTGTAGTTATAGTTGTCTGTAGTCATAGTTGCCTGTAGTCATAGTTGCCTGTAGTTATAGTTGCCTGTAGTTATAGTTGCCTGTAGTTATAGTTGCCTGTAGTTATAGTTGCCTGTAGTTATAGTTGCCTGTAGTTATAGTTGCCTGTAGTTATAGTTGCTAGTGGTTATAGTTGCCTGTAGTTATAGTTGCCTGTGGTTATAGTTGCTTGTGGTTATAGTTGCTTGTGGTTATAGTTGCTTGTGGTTGTAGTTGCCTGTAGTCATAGTTGCCTGTAGTTATAGTTGCCTGTAGTTATAGTTGCCTGTAGTTATAGTTGCTTGTGATTATAGTTGCCTGTAGTTATAGTTGCTTGTAGTTATAGTTGCTTGTGGTTATAGTTGTCTGTAGTTATAGTTGTCTGTAGTCATAGTTGCCTGTAGTCATAGTTGCCTGTAGTTATAGTTGCCTGTAGTTATAGTTGCTTGTGATTATAGTTGCCTGTAGTTATAGTTGCCTGTGGTTATAGTTGCTTGTGGTTATAGTTGCTTGTGGTTGTAGTTGCTTGTGGTTATAGTTGCCTGTAGTTATAGTTGCCTGTAGTTATAGTTGCTTGTGGTTGTAGTTGCTTGTGGTTATAGTTGCCTGTAGTTATAGTTGCCTGTAGTTATAGTTGCCTGTAATTATAGTTGCCTGTAGTTATAGTTGCCTGTAGTTATAGTTGCTTGTGGTTGCCCGTGGTTGCCCGTAGACGAATCTCGCGGTTACCGTGGAGACGCCGATGGCCCCGCCCCCTCGCTCCAGGATTGGCTGCAGCAACACGAGCGGCGGTCTGGGATCAGGTGACTGTGACACTGTGGGTGTGACACTGTGTGGGTGTGACACTGTGTGTGTGTGTGACTGTGACACTGTGTGTGTGTGACACTGTGTGTGTGTGTGTGACTGTGACACTGTGGGTGTGACACTGTGTGACACTGTGGGTGTGTGTGACACTGTGTGTGTGACACTGTGACACTGTGTGTGTGTGACACTGTGTGCGTGTGACACTGTGTGTCACTGTGTGTGTGACACTGTGTCTGTGTGACACTGTGTGACACTGTGGGTGTGATTGTGTGTGTGTGACACTGTGTGTGTGTGACACTGTGTGTGTGACACTGTGACACTGTGTGTGTGACACTGTGTGCGTGTGACACTGTGTGTCACTGTGTGTGTGTGACACTGTGTCTGTGTGACACTGTGTGACACTGTGGGTGTGATTGTGTGTGTGTGACACTGTGTGTGTGTGACACTGTGTGTGTGACACTGTGTGTGTGTCACTGTGTGTGTGTGTCACTGTGTGACACTGGGTCTGTGTGACACTGTGTGACACTGTGTGTGTGATTGTGTGTGTGTGTGTGACACTGTGTGTGTCTGACACTGTGTGTCTGACACTGTGTGTGTGACACTGTGGGTGTGTGACACTGTGTGTGTGATTGTGTGTGTGTGTGACACTGTGTGTGTGACACTGTGTGTGTGACACTGTGGGTGTGTGACACTGTGTGTGTGATTGTGTGTGTGTGTGACACTGTGTGTGTGTGACACTGTGTGTGTGTCACTGTGTGTGTGTGACACTGTGGGTGTGATTGTGTGTGTGTGACACTGTGTGTGTGTGACACTGTGTGTGTGACACTGTGTGTGTGACACTGTGTGTGTATCACTGTGTGTGTGTGACACTGTGTGACACTGGGTGTGTGTGACACTGTGTGACACTGGGTGTGTGTCACACTGTGTGACACTGGGTGTGTGTGACACTGTGTGACACTGGGTGTGTGTCACACTGTGTGACACTGTGGGTGTGTGACACTGTGGGTCCGGTGGACCGGCTCTGGCTCCTGCCACCATGAGGGGTGGACAGTCCTCTACTCGGGGCAGCAGACTGCCAAACAACAGGGTGTGGCTCTTCTTTTGAACAAAAGAATGAAGGGGGCGTGGGAGCGTGGCGGTGAGGTGTGGGAAGCTGTAAGCCCCAGGCTACTTTGGGCTCGCCTTCCCATCAACCGGAGGCGAGGAATGGTGGTCGTGGTTACTTATGCCCCCACCGAAGATGAACATCCGTGAAGGGATGCAGGCAAAGCCGATGAGTCAGATGCCTTCTATGACCTCCTGTCACAGGTGCTGGCTAAAGTGGCCCCTCGGGATAGAGTCATCATGTTGGGTGACTTCAATGCCCGAGTTGGTCATGATACTGGCACCTGGTCTGGAGTGATTGGAGGGCATGGGCCAGATCAGCTCAATAACAACGGTAGGAGGCTGCTAGATTTTTGTGCAGCCCATGGGCTTGTAATTACCAACACGCTGTTCCGGCATCGGCGCATCCACACAACATCATGGATGCATGCCGGGTCCAAGCAAGAACATCTGCTGGACTACATAGTGACGGACCAGCGAATGCGAGCCCATGTCCTTGACACCAGGACCTACCGTGGAGCTGATCTGCCCTCTGACCATCGACTAGTCATCTGTAAGATGCGCCTGCCATTCTTCCACTCCGGTGGTGGGTGTACACCCAGGACCCCATTCCAACATAAAGTGGCCTGGTCTCAGTTATCTGATGAAAGTTGCAAGCGAGAATTTCATCATCGCTTGCGGCTGGGATTGGCATCGTCCCCGACTCCTCCTGATGTCGAGGGTAAATGGGCGAGGTTTAGGACTGTGACTCATGCAGCTGCAATGGCTGCTTTGGGTACGCGGTCCAGACCTCCCCAGAGACCCTGGCTGACAGAGGAGGTGTTCAGGATGGTTGAGAAAAAGCGACAGGCCCACTGTCATCGGCTACAGAATCCCACGTCAGAGAATGAGGAGGCTTACCGCAGCCTTCGCTCGGAGGTTCGGAGAGCCGTGAGGCGCTGCAAGGATCGGTGGTGGTCGCGGGTTGCTGAGGAGATGGAGTCTGCCTCAGTGGCCCGTGATCACAAATCTCTATTTAACTCCATCAAAAAAGTAACCTGCAGCGCCACACCTATTACCATCATTAGGGGAAAAAAACGGTGATCCAATCTCCGACCCCCAGGAACAGGTTCGCAGATTTGCTGAGCATTTCTGTGAGGTCCTGGGGGAGGGAAAATCCCTCAGCCAGGAAAACATCATGGCACAAAGTGAGGATGACCCTGCTGAGGCTGCGGTGCCTCAAATATTGGAAGAAGTCACCCCCTGTGAGTGGCTGGCTGAGGTGCCATCTGCTGAGGAAGTATTGAAGGCGATCCGGAGTCTGAGACCAGGAAAGGCAGCGGGCAGAGATGATCTCCCAAGCGAAATGCTGAGGGAGGGTGGCATTTGTGCACAGACTGCCCTATATGACATCATAACAACAGTCTGGACCACTGGACGGGTTCCGCAGGATTGGAAGGATGCCCTGGTGGTCCCCGTTTTTAAGAAGGGGGACCGCACAGACTGTAACAACTACAGGGGCATCTCACTCCTCAGTGTGCCGGGAAAGGTCCTGGCAAGGATTATTCAGCATCGCCTTGCCAGGCACGCTGAGGAGAGGCTTGCGGAGCCCCAATGCGGTTTCAGGAAAGGGCGGTCCTGCACAGATGCCATATTTTCTGTCCGTCTGCTACAGCAGAGGTGTAGGGAATTCCAACAAGACCTACATCTCTGCTTTATTGACCTGGTCAAGGCCTATGATACCATCAGTAGGCCTGGGCTCTGGGTCGTTCTTCGTGCTTTTGGAGTACCTGACCCTCTGCTCACGATCATTAAGGACCTTCATGATGGTGAGCGGGCCCGGGTAAAACTACGCGGCCAGGAGTCAGAGCCATTCCCTGTACACCTTGGGGTGCGACAGGGATGTCCTCTGGCTCCCACATTATTTAACATCTATTTTGACCACATAGTTCGTGAAGCCTTCAATAGCTGTACCGGGGGAATCTCCATATGGTACAGATATAATGGGAGGCTAATCGATGCCCGGGTGCGGTCAAGGGATGGCTCCCTATTGCTCAACCACATTATGTATGCTGATGATTTGGTAATAGCTGCTCAGTCAGAGGAGGAGTTGGAGACGCTGCTGCTGAGACTGGAGCGTGCCACTAAGAGGTGGGGCCTTACCATCAGCCCCACCAAAACTAAGCACCTGCCTGGGTATTTTGTACCATCGGACACTCCACCCCCACAACTCCCAATCGGTGATGGGGCAGTTGTGGAGAGAGTGGAGAGTTTCCCATACCTGGGCAGTGTGCTTATGACTGGCTCCAGTTTAACAGCAGAGGTCTCACTCCGAATCAGTCGAGCGGCAATATCTTTTCATCGGTTGCGTAACGCTGTGTGGAAGCTATCTGGTCTGTCGCTCCGCACTAAGCTTCAGGTCTTCTCGGCCACGGTCATTCCCTCCCTTCTCTACGCTTGCGAAACGTGGACCCCCCTAATGGAACATCTTCGCCGGTTAGAAACATTTAGGCTGGCCTGCCTACGATCCATCCTGGGTTTAACCAGACTGGATTGTGTGAGGAGCTCACAAATCCTTGAAAGATCTGGGCAGGGTCCCATCGGTGAGCTCCCCCGGCAGGCAAGGCTGCGATGGCTGGGTCATGTAGCCCGCATGCCCAGCCACCGCATGCCGAAACAGCTTTTGTTTGGCCGGATTGAGGGGGCTAAGCGGGCGCGGCATGGGCTAGAGAAGAGATGGAGTGATGTGGTACAGGAGGACGTGGAGCTGAGTGAACTTGCCGATGACTGGTACCAGCGGTGTCAAGATCGGCCTCTGTGGAGGAGGCTCGTGAAGGATGCTACTGGGCAGTTGGAGGCAGTCGCCCTCCAACAACAACGGAGGATGGAGGAGCGACGCTCAGAACAACGAGCGGAGCGCCGGGTGGCTAAAGCACAGCAGGTTGGCACAGTAGGGGGCACAGGTGGTGCATCAGCCAGTCATCTCAGTCAGTCGACCCGTGGCACCTGGGTCTGCCCCATGACCTCCTGCCAGCAGGCGTTCGACACTTCACGTGGCCTCAGGGTGCACATAGCCTGGCACAAGCGTCGTGGTGACGTCACCGCCACTTAGTGGCGAATGGCGGTTGTTGTTGTTGTTGTTGTTGTGTGTCACTGTGGGTGTGTGTAACACTGTGTGACACTGTGTGACACTGTGTGTGTGTGACACTGTGTGTGTGTGACACTGTGTGACACTGTGGGTGTGTGTCACTGTGGGTGTGTGACTGTGTGTGTGTGACACTGTGGATGTGTGTCACTGTGGGTGTGACTGTGACACTGTGTGTGTGTGACTGGCTCCAGTTTAACAGCAGAGGTCTCACTCCGAATCAATCGAGCGGCAATATCTTTTCATCGGTTGCGTAACGCTGTGGAAGCTACCTGGTCTGTTGCTCCGCACTAAGCTTCAGGTCTTCTCGGCCACGGTCATTCCCTCCCTTCTCTACGCTTGTGAAACGTGGACCCCCCTAATGGAACATCTTCGCCGGTTAGAAACATTTAGGCTGGCCTGCCTACAATCTATCCTGGGTTTAACCTGCAGGCTGGATTGTGTGAGGAGCTCACAAATCCTTGAGAGATCTGGGCAAGGTCCCATCGGTGAGCTCCTCCGGCAGGCAAGGCTGCGTTGGCTGGGTCATGTTGCCCGCATGCCCAGCCACCGCATGCCCAGCCACCGCATGCCCAGCCACCGCATGCCCAGCCACCGCATGCCCAGCCACCGCATGCCCAGCCACCGCATGCCCAGCCACCGCATGCCCAGCCACCGCATGCCCAGCCACCGCATGCCCAGCCACCGCATGCCCAGCCACCGCATGCCCAGCCACCGCATGCCCAAGCAGCTTCTGTTTGGTCGTTTTGAGGGGGCTAAACGGGCACGAACATGGGCTGGAGCTGAGTGGACTTGCTGACGACCGGTACCAGCGGTGTCAAGATCGGCGTCTGTGGAGGAGGATGCTCGTGAAGGACGCCGCTGCTGCTGCCGCTGCTGCTGCTGGGCAGTTGGAGGCAGTTGGAGGCAGTTGGAGGCAGTTGGAGGCAGTTGGAGGCAGTTGGAGGCAGTTGGAGGCAGTTGGAGGCAGTTGGAGGCAGTTGGAGGCAGTTGGAGGCAGTTGGAGGCAGTTGGAGGCAGTCGCCCTCCAACAACAGCAAGCGGAGCGCCGGGCACCCAAGGTGGTGCCTCTACCGGTGGTCATCTCGGTCAGCCGACCAATAGCAGCTGCTGGGTCTGTCACGTGACCTCCTGTCAGCGGGCCTTCGACACGTCACGTGGTCGCCTCAAAGTGCACCTAGCCTGGCACGGACGCCGTGGTGATCTCACCCTCGCTTCGTGGCGGTTGTGTTGCTATTTGACTGTGTGTGTCGTCTGTGTGATTTGCATATATGAATATTCATGAGTGTTAAATCCTCCCCTCCCCCTCTTGTCGTCCAATCAGAGTGGATCTCCCTGCTGGATTCCCTCCCCCGGATCAGCTTCCCCCGTCCCTGCGCCCCCCCCCATTGGGGGGCTGGCCGAGTGAACCCCTCACCCAGTGGGGGTGATGGGGGGGGGTCCAATCCACCTGGCCACTGTCCTGGTGACTGAGATGTTAACTACCTCGCCTGGTACACAGGAGGTCTGTCTCTCTCATCACCACGGTGACTATGAGATGTTAACTACCTCGCCTGGTACACAGGAGGTCTGTGTCTCTCTCATCATCATCACCACGGTGACTATGAGATGTTAACTACCTCGCCTGGTCTACAGGAGGTCTGTGTCTCTCATCATCATCACGGTGGCTATGAGATGTTAACTACCTCGCCTGGTCTACAGGAGGTCTCTCTCTCATCATCACCACGGTGGCTATGAGATGTTAACTACCTCGTCTGGTACACAGGAGGTCTGTGTCTCTCCCTCATCATCACCACGGTGGCTATGAGATGTTAACTACCTCACCCGGTACACAGGAGGTCTGTGTCTCTCTCATCACCACGGTGACTATGAGATGTTAACTACCTCGCCTGGTCTACAGGAGGTCTGTGTCTCTCATCATCACCACGGTGGCTATGAGATGTTAACTACCTCGCCTGGTCTACAGGAGGTCTGTGTCTCTCTCTCTCATCATCACCACGGTGACTATGAGATGTTAACTACCTCGCCTGGTCTACAGGAGGTCTGTGTCTCTCTCACCATCATCACGGTGGCTATGAGATGTTAACTACCTCGCCTGGTCTACAGGAGGTCTATGTCTCTCTCTCATCATCACCACGGTGACTGAGATGTTAACTACCTCGCCTGGTATACAGGAGGTCTGTGTCTCTCATCATCATCACGGTTACTATGAGATGTTAACTACCTCGCCTGGTCTACAGGAGGTCTGTGTCTCTCATCATCACCGCGGTGGCTATGATGTTAACTACCTCGCCTGGTCTACAGGAGGTCTGTGTCTCTCATCACCACGGTGACTATGAGATGTTAGCTACCTCGCCTGGTATACAGGAGGTCTGTGTCTCTCTCACTGCGTGGATTTTGTCTCCGGCTCCTCCTCCGTTTGTCCCCTCCACGTTCAGAGTCGACGTCGCCACGCTCGGTCAGAGTCTTTGGCTGCTGCTGCTGTCAATGTCCACGTGACGATGATGACGACGATGATGACGACAATGATGATACCAGCCACGTGGTTGAGCTGCTATCATTTGTTGATGGCCACGTGGCTTATGAACAAAGAGCGACAGCAGCTGTGCGGGGCCTGACAATAAACACGAGTTTAGTTTTAGTCTCTGTGAGTCTCTCTGAGTGATGGTATCTATGGGTCTCTATGAGTGATGGTCTCTATGGGTCTCTATGAGTCTCTATGAGTGATGGTCTCTGTGAGTCTCTTATGAGTGATGGTCTCTATGGGTCTCTATGAGTGATGGTCTCTATGGGTCCCTATGAGTATGGGTCTCTGTGTGTCTCTGTTTGTCTGTGTCTCTGTGTGTCTCTGTGTGTCTGTGTGTGTCTGTGTGTGTCTGTGTCTCTGTGTGTGTCTGTCTCTCTGGCTCTGTGTGTCTCTGTGTGTCTCTGTGTGTCTGTGTGTCTCTCTGGCTCTGTGTCTCTGTGTGTCTCTGTGTCTCTGTGTGTCTGTGTGTCTCTGTGTGTGTCTGTGTGTCTCTGTGTGTGTCTGTGTGTCTCTCTGGCTCTGTGTGTCTCTGTGTCTGTGTGTCTCTGTGTGTCTCTGTGTGTCTCTCTGGCTCTGTGTGTCTCTGTGTCTCTGTCTGTGTGTGTCTGTGTCTCTGTGTGTCTCTCTGGCTGTGTCTCTGTGTGTCTCTGTGTGTGTCTGTGTCTCTGTGTGTTTGTGTCTCTCTCTGTGTGTCTCTGTGGGTCTCTGTGTGTCTCTCTGGCTCTGTGTCTCTGTGTCTGTGTGTCTGTGTCTCTGTGTGTTTGTGTCTCTCTGGCTCTGTGTCTCTGTGTGTCTCTCTGTGTCTCTGTGGGTCTCTGTGTCTCTGTGTGTGTCTTGTGTGTCTGTGTCTCTCTGGCTCTGTGCGTCTCTGTGTGTCTGTGTGTGTCTGTGTCTCTCTGTCTCGGTGTCTCTGGCTCTGTGTGTCTCTGTGGGTCTCTGTGTGTCTCTGTGTGTCTCTCTGGCTTTGTGTGTCTGTGTGTCTCTGTGTGTCTGTGTGTGTCTCTGTGTGTCTCTGTGTCCCTGTCTCTGTGTGCATCTCTCTGGCTCTGTGTGTGTGTCTCTATGTCTTTGTGTGTGTCTGTGTGTCTCTCTGGCTCTGTGTGTCTCTGTGTGTCTCCTTGTGTCTGTGTGTGTTTGTGTCTCTGTGTCTCTGTGTGTGTCTGTGTGTCTCTCTGGCTCTGTGTCTCTGTGTGTCTCTGTGTGTCTCTCTGGCTCTGTGTGTCTCTGTGTGTCTGTGTGTCTCTCTGTGTGTCTGTGGGTCTCTGTGTCCCTGTGTCTGTGTCCCTGTGTCTCTCTGGCTGTGTGTCTCTGTGTCTGTGTGTGTCTGTGTGTCTCTGTGTGTGTCTGTGTGTCTCTAGACACACGTGTTTAGAGTGTTGGCTGCTGCTGCTGCTGGGCACGTAACTTCTGGACAGGAGCCGTGCACAGCCGGCAACAACAACCACCACCACCAACAACCACCAACAACAACCACCACCAACAACAACAACTAACAACAACCAGTTGAATGAGTTCACAGAGTTTAGTGTCTTCAGCTGGTCTGACCCACCCCATCGGCACGGCACCACCACAGCGTGGCCCTGAGCTTCATGGTGGTGGTGGTGCTGGTGGTGATGGTGGTGATGGTGGTGCTGGTGGTGGTGGTGGTGATGGTGGCGGTGGTGGTGGAGGCGGTGGTGGAGGCGGTGGTGGAGGCGGTGGTGCTGGTGGAGGCGGTGGTGGTGATTGTGGTGATGGTGTTGGTGGTGGTGGTGCTGATGGTGGTGGCGGTGGTGGTGATGATGGTGCTGGTGGTGGAGGCGGTGGTGGTGGAGGCGGTGATGGAGGTGATGGTGGTGGAGGCGGTGGTGGTGATGGTGGTGCTGGTGGAGGCGGTGGTGATGGAGGCGGTGGTGGTGGTGGTGGAGGCGGTGGTGGTGATGGTGTTGGTGGTGGTATCGTCACACTGTCGTCCCTCCAGGAGGATTGTGGGTAATTAAAATTGGGGTGGCGTCATTGGATGCTCATGGGAAATCAGAAGTGTGGGGGGTGGCAGTGGAGGCTCATGGGAGTGGTGTGGGGGGTGGCAGTGGAGGCTCATGGGAGTGGTGTGGGGGGTGGCAGTGGAGGCTCATGGGAGTGGTGTGGGGGGTGGCAGTGGAGGCTCATGGGAGTGGTGTGGGGGGTGGAGGCTCATGGGAGTGGTGTGGGGGGTGGAGGCTCATGGGAGTGGTGGGGGGGTGGAGGCTCATGGGAGTGGTGTGGGGGGTGGAGGCTCATGGGAGTGGTGGGGGGGTGGAGGCTCATGGGAGTGGTGTGGGGGGTGGAGGCTCATGGGAGTGGTGGGGGGGTGGAGGCTCATGGGAGTGGTGTGGGGGGTGGAGGCTCATGGGAGTGGTGGGGGGGGTGGAGGCTCATGGGAGTGGTGGGGGGGTGGAGGCTCATGGGAGTGGTGTGGGGGGTGGAGGCTCATGGGAGTGGTGTGGGGGGTGGAGGCTCATGGGAGTGGTGGGGGGGTGGAGGCTCATGGGAGTGGTGTGGGGGGTGGAGGCTCATGGGAGTGGTGTGGGGGGTGGAGGCTCATGGGAGTGGTGGGGGGGTGGAGGCTCATGGGAGTGGTGTGGGGGGTGGAGGCTCATGGGAGTGGTGTGGGGGGTGGCAGTGGAGGCTCATGGGAGTGGTGTGGGGGGTGGAGGCTCATGGGAGTGGTGTGGGGGGTGGAGGCTCATGGGAGTGGTGGGGGGGGTGGAGGCTCATGGGAGTGGTGTGGGGGGTGGAGGCTCATGGGAGTGGTGGGGGGGGTGGAGGCTCATGGGAGTGGTGTGGGGGGGTGGCAGTGGAGGCTCATGGGAGTGGTGGGGGGGTGGAGGCTCATGGGAGTGGTGTGGGGGGTGGAGGCTCATGGGAGTGGTGTGGGGGGTGGCAGTGGAGGCTCATGGGAGTGGTGGGGGGGTGGAGGCTCATGGGAGTGGTGTGGGGGGTGGCAGTGGAGGCTCATGGGAGTGGTGGGGGGGTGGAGGCTCATGGGAGTGGTGTGGGGGGTGGCTGTGGGCGTAGCAGGAAGTGGTGGTCCCGGCGGGCCCAGCGAGGGGAGTGACTCTCAGGGGCCTCCTCCTTCACCTCCTCCACCTCCTCCACCTCCTCCTCCTCCTCCTCCTCCACCTCCTCCACCTCCTCCATGGTTCGCTCCGTGAAGCTCACGCGGCCATCCACCCCCACGAGCAGCACCGAGTTGGTACTGCCCACAGCGACACACAGCAAGCACACAGTACACACAGTACACACACACAGCACACACACACACAGCACACACACAGTACACACACACAGTACACACACACAGTACACACGCAGCACACACACACACACAGTACACACACACAGCACACACACACACAGCACACACACAGCACACACACAGTACACACACACAGCACACACA